GGAGACGAGGCTCGGGCCGGGAAACCATGGGGAGATGCAATGGGCGATGCACGCTGGTCGGATTCTGCTGCCTGCAGCTGGTAAGCGGGGGCTGCGCTCCCTTTTCTCCTCCGGCGCGGCTGCCTAACCCGCCCGGGCCCGGCCTGGGACCTCGGCCCCGCGGGCGGCAGCGGCGCGGAGCTCGGTGCCCCCCGGGCCCGGCTCCCCGGGGGCTTGGCGGGGCGCATCGCGGAAAGCCAAACTTAACGCCCCGCTGGCACTTTGCAAACTCTCCCGGCCGGCCGGCGAGGGGCCGGGGCCGCGGGGACCTGTCGCGGGTGCACACCCGTCCTGAGGGGGCAGCGGCGGAGGCCGGAGGAAGCGAGCGCCCGGGACATGAGGAGACTCGGGAAGGTAGCAATGAATTAGCGAGGCACTTTCCCTGGGCAGCTGCTACCGCAGGAAGTGCAATGGAGCGAAAAGCCCCGTCCAGCTGAAATGATTTCTGCTGAGGCGACTGGCCCAGGGCGAGGGCAGAGATCTGGCCCCGTCTGTCTGCGTTGTTCCTGGGGTTTGCCCCGGCTGCGGAGCATTGTTTGGGAAAGTGCTGGAGCAAATCTCTCTCCTGTGGCTTTTCAGGCGACAGCGGCTTTCTCCTGCTCGTCTGCCTCTTTCTAGCGTTATTATTTTTTCACTGGGGAGCGCAGAGCCATGGGCGCTGGCGTAGTGAATGCTTTCTAAGGTGTAAGGGGAAGCCAGGATGTTTATTGCGGGTTCTGGGAAATGTGAAAACGAATCGTGTAGGTAGCAGGGCTGTCTAATAGCTGGCAACTTGTCTGAGAAGCTGACCTGGGTATTGTGGATAGTGCTCCGGGATCTAGTATAAGCTAAAAAAAAGAGGGAGTCTACAAGTACATGTATGAAAAGTCCTCTGTACCACTGAAAAAAATCAAGATGTTTACACTGAAAAGGACTTTTGGGAGGGGAAACTGACATGTTCCATCACTTTCAGTCTGGAAAGACGTCATTAGGAGATGTCCCTCGCAGGACCGTGCAATGAAAAGGGAGAACCTTACTGGCAACAAAAGAACATGTCAAACAGGAAAAAAATATGGCCAGGCCTACCTCTATTTCTTTCCTTCCTCCTTTGATGCTGATTTCTTTAAAAAATGAAAAATCAACAATTGTGCTGAGCCCAGTTTCCGGAGATTATAGAAACTGAAGTTAATGCTGAAATAAATCTGTGGTTTGATTTGAAATGAAATTTGATTTCTGAAGTCCAAAATCTGTTCTTCACTTTACTCTGACAGAGACCACTTATCGCACTGAGATTAGAGCAGAGATGATTAATTTACTGTTACCATAAGGCTTTTCTTCTGTTACTTTTCCTGTGGCATCTAATGTGTCGGTAGCTTTTCCTAGCTCCCCAATGGCTGTGTACTTCTGGGAAGGGAAAAAAAAAAAGAAAGAAAGATCAAT